TTGTCATCCCTTTCAGACCAACTTCCTAAAGAGCTGCTAATGACACTCTGAGCCTTCCTCAGTACAGTGAGTTGGGAGGTCTGGTGTGTTTTCCTCTAATTGTTTATCTTAGCCCACCAGCTCAATACAGCACATAAAGGATTCTGCCTGTCTTAATATTTTGGATTTCACACTGGAACAAAGAGGTTTAAGAATCAGCATTGCTTTAATAGGGACTGGTGAGGGCACACCAGAAAATGATTAAGGGATATGGGGAAAGAGGCAGCAGGTGCAGTGAAAGGAGAGGCAGTAAAAGGCAGAAGCAGTGAACTGTTACCCAATAGATGCCAGTAGAAGTACGAACACTCGTTTTTTCTTGACGAATATTTAAGTGCTTATGATTAAAACATGCTTTTAAAAACAGTGTTATGAGAAAGAAAATCTGAAAAAAGACAAAAATATACTCCAATCAAAAATAGTCTCAGCATAAATGAATAACTGGAGACTTTTTAAACTTGTCACTCAGTTCTGATCCTTAGCTAACCCTCAAAGATATGTTGTTGTAAAGGTTAATTAATTAAAGTGCACAGAAATGATTATTTGAGAGCTGCTAGGTAAGTGCAAAGTACTGTTACTATAGGTTAATATTTGCTCTTAGGGCATAGCCATGCTTGACACCAATGTACATGACATCCTGAGACAAACAGTTTCAAAGCTCAGGGCCTTAGCCCTCTTCTGCTGAAGTAAATGGGAATCATTCTGTGGGTGTTCAGGACCCTTGGATTAGCTCTGAGGATACAGCTGTGTGGTATAAAGCCATCTCCTAGCTCCATTAGCATGTGCCTCTGGCTCAAGACAGCTAATCTGTTTTGCTTCTCAGGCAAGCTAATTAGATCAGCAGATAGAGCATAAAGCCTTTGAATCTTCAGAGAAATGCCACTGCTCTGGATGGGAGTAAGCACGGGAAACACAGGGAATTTGTATAAATAACTGCGTTCAGAAGAGGTTCCCAGGGACATCATGGAAATACACAATGCTCAACATCCCTGGCCACAGGTCACCACTAGCAGGTATTTTGTCTGCACACAGGAGATTTGAGCCACTTCTCCCAGGTGACACCTTGATATCAGTAGGTCCATCATGTTGCAATCAGACATTTGTTCATAGAACTTCAACAGTTTGCTAAGAGCAATGAAAGAAGGTCTCATCTCCCTCTCACTGACCCCCTGCCCACTCACCTGGGGTGAGATATGATACATAACCAAGAAGATGTCTAAGAAGACTGAGACCAGCCATCATTTCTTTCTCTCTGCCACCCAATAACAGCTGCAATTAGCAGAAACAATTAGACCAATTTCCTCATTACATGGAACAGGACAGTCTATGGCTTTCTCTTTTAAGCTTATTCGACTCTAGAACTTCCCCCTTATAATTCAAAATATTCCACACTAAGGGCCTCATCTGTTTGATGAGGGACTCTGAGATGTGAAGGGATGAAAAGCAATGGAAAGTTCCTTTGGAACTGAGTTCAGTTCTGTTAAGGTTAAAGCTAATTTAATTGACCATATAATTAAAAAAGTTATGATTTAAGAGCCTTGGACAGGCACCTTTATCATTTTATACTTGAGCAAATAAATAAGTTCAGAGCTGAATTTGAAGTCAGATCTCAAAATTTAGGATTGCTTGGACTTAACTATTTCACACATCACAAAAATTTATTTCTAGAGCTTAACCGGTACAGCAAAATTTTTCTCATAACTGCTGTGATAATAACAATGAACAAAGTAAAACCTCAAGTGGAATGTGTGAACAGTAAAAATGCTGGTCCCTTTCACTGTAACAGGGATTGTTTTACCTGGTGCTGCTCACAGCAAGTTCATCTACTGAATAAGATCCTGGGCCAGAATTTCCTAAAGCTTGGGGACTTGATGTTCTCCATTCATTTCCTCTTTAAATCCTGCAGATGGGCAGCACTGACATTCTGTTAAAAAAGAACAGAAGGGAATTATCTATAAAAATGTTTATTTAAGGAATGTTTGAAAAGAATTATAAATATTTTATCTGTTCTTTTCCATCAACTAAGAAAAAAACATGAGGAGCTCCCTGATTCCTCAGGTTCTATTGTCTAAGAAAAGTCAATCTGGTCCAGATGACAATGTAGAAGAAAAGCCAACACTTTTCCCAGGTATTGTGTAAAACTACCTTATCAATTAATAAGAATTAAAAGGAATTGTAAGAATTAAAAAGCTTGTTTGGAAATGCAGACATAAATCCATTATTTTCTAACAAACAAGGATACAGGTGATACACTGGTAAAAAAAGAAAATGCAAACAACTTCCTTCAACATGACATAACATAGTATTTTAAAATAAATTTGAATACAAAATATTCTTCCAGGCATTAAAAGAGAAATTTGCTGATATTAATGCAATTATTGAAAGACTTATATGCATTGAAATTATCTTAAATAAGGGCAGGTTTTTTTATTTCAATTTAGGCCAATAGTTGTTTAAAATAAAACAATTTCCCTGTAACAGTTATGGGCAAATATTTATTTTTATTTTTTGCATTTAAGTTCATCCTACCAATTATTCTTTTTTCCCACCTCCTCTCCTTCACTAAATGACATTAAAAGTAAAAGAAAGGATGTTTGCCCACATATTCTTCCTATCCAGAACAGAGCTCCCACCTGCCCTCCATCACATCTTTGTAGGAGGATGGAAATTCAGCAGAAACAAAGACCAGGAGTGAAGGCATTCATCCACACAGATTTACATGCTAACTGTGGAAACATTTTATGGTTTTAATTTAGACACCACAATATTTTTTTGTCTCTTCCTTTCCATGCTATCATCTCTGCTTCCCTTTACATCTATATGCTTATTGCTATTTGAAGCTTCCATGACTTGTAACGGCAAATAGAAAACATTTTTTTCTACAATATTTTCATCTTCTAAAATAAGCAGCTTGGCACAACTGTATGGGCAATGTGTGCAAATTTGCATACATTCTATATGTTGTTTTTCCCCCAGTATTTTCTATCTTTGTTAATTACAGATGGACCACAGAAAAAAGAAAATACAAAATATTGCAATATATTATAAACTTATATTTAATTATTGATTCATTACTTAATAATACTTGAAGTATACATTAAATTTAAATTATATCTTATATCTGTCAGAAAAGAAAGACTACCTAGATGTTTTATGGGCAAAAGTCTCCAGGGAGTGTCACAAATTCACTTGATGTCTGTAAGTAATTAATTTTCCATTTGGATCTCTGATTTAGCTGAAGGATGTGTAAAAGCACATGCAGACAAGCAGTCAGGAATGGAGACTTCTCTACTGACTGTGCATCTGAGCACCTTCTCATTCACTGTGTATTCTAAAAAATGTAGTGAACTGTGCTGTGCTGAAGGAATAGGCACATGGTGCTGGTGTTTCCTACAGTCATGTTCAGAAACTAGACACAGGAAGTCTTTCTTTTACACAAATCTTTCTTATTTTCTTCATCTAGGAGCACTGGCAGTTCAGCCACACAGATCTGATTTCTTTTTAAGAAAGAGAATCCCCAAGTATTTTTGTAAAGGTCTGTGTTCCTGGGAAACAGACAATTGGATTGTATTCTAACCATTTTTGTTTTTACAGTGTCAATACTTATAACCATGGTACCAGGGCCAGTTGGTTAATTTCTTCTATCAATTATTCTTGTGATCTTATTTTCAACATATTTTTGTGAATTTTCATAAAATTTCCCTTGCACTCCTCACCCTAGAATTTTTCCAAAACATCTTCACTGCAGTTTCAATGCACACAATTATTAGGCAATTTATCACTTTCAAATTATGAATAAAAATTATATTTGAAACCAAAATATTTTCTATCTTTAAAATAATGTTTCTTCTATTTTAGCATTTCACAAATAAGCATTTTACAACAAACTTTTAATCTTGTTTTTGATTGAGTCCCTTTTCAAATTTTTCATTTCAGCTGTTCATTTGTTCTGCACTTCCCTTTGTATTCAACTGCTATGTAATTCCATTTCTATCACACAATTCCCATGTATTCTTTCCTAGATGGGTACATATTGTTTCTGACGGTCCAATGGAGTCACTTGAAGTCACACTTGAATCCAGCCTCTTCTCACGCTGTGGGTTTGTCTGTTAAAAGCTCTGCCTAAAGTGACACCCAGACGCCCAAAAGTTTGGTGAAAGGCAGAAAACAGCAGTGGTTACTTGAGAAGATTCCCCCAGCCTTACAGAGTCAAGCACTCCTTTTCTTTATCATTTGCACCTGTGTTAGCTGATGGCTTTACTGCTTTGCCAGCAATTATCTATTTTATTCTCAGGAAGCCTTCCCTCTTCTCCTCCACTCCTGATGGAAAGAAAAGACAGCACATAGAAAAGGTTGGTTCAGGCAGAGATGAAAATCTGTCCCTGATGTTGAGTGTTGCTCCCTGCACTGGCAGACAGGTTGCAGGGCAAGCAGTGCTCTGGGAAGGGAGAGCTGAGTTTGCCTTCTCCAGAGCTTGTGAAGCAGAGAAGACCTCAACACAAGTTTTTCAATACAGCCCCCAGCAGAGGTTACACAAGGACACACAGATCTGGGTTAGACCCTGGGTACAAAGCACAAGGCTTGGAGGGCTGGAGTTGATAAAACCATGAAAAGGAGAGGTTTATGCTGTGCTTCATCCACCTCCTCTTGCTCATCTTGAGCCTTGACATAAGCAGGTGCAGACTAGAAACCTTGAGCCTTCTCAAGCTGTCCGTGGCTATTTCAGCCCTGGAAAGTGTTCATTTGTTAAATGCTGCTTATCAGTGCTAGACAGCACTACAAAGCCCATATCCAAGCAAGATGAAGGCAGAGAAATTCTCCTGAGCTCCAGGTGCTCCAATGGTGTCAGTAACTTTTTTCTCCTAGGGGGAACAAAGCAATTTGCTGGGTTTAGATCCACTTCACACCCATAGACAGACAGGTGCCATGAACCTCTTACCTATTTGCCTGAGCCATCCCTCTGTGGAAAGAGAGCAATCTCTGCCTCTCTCTTATCTATGTATTATTTCTATTCTGTGTAGTGCTGGATCATGAAAAAGTGTTCTGTCCTACACTGTAAGGTTTTGCTTTAAGGTCATCCCTCTCTCTCTGATTCAGAGCTTGCTTGAAGGAGGTTTGATTTGCAGATGTTCACCTTGTGTTTGATTCCACTTAATTTTCTCCTATTTTAGCAGTCCTGTGTTGAAAGAAAAAAAAAATTAGCCATGCATTAATTTGAGACAAATCAAAACGGAAAAGGCAACAGAATTTTGATTTTGTCAGTCTTCCTTTTAAAGGAGCTCTGTTTGCTCTATGACTGTTCACTGTGGCATTAACTTGTCTATAAAATAGGGATAATTACATTTTCTTCCTTGATAAGGTGATCTAGAATATATGGATTGCTAGGGTACATAAGTTATGCATTTTTAATAATGAGGGGATAGACCTGTACACATTTCAAGCTTCTTAAGATTTAATGTATCTGTAATAATATAAACTGTTAGGGCCTAAAGCTGAAAGCAGTTATGGATGTTTTTAATGTATTTTTTTTGAAGTTCAATACAAAGCGTCACAAAGCATTACATGTTTCCTGTTTGCAATCAAGGAAAATATTAGAAAATTTAAGAAAAAAATAAAAAACAAACTCACAACCCATTCTGAAGAAAAAAAATCTTATTATATGATTTTCCTCCAATGCAGATTATGGGTCAATTCATAGTTAATATTATTTATATGAAGGTAAATGTCCTCTGCTCTACAGAAAGAATAAAGGCTCTATTCATGAAAATGTTAGAGCGAGATTGTATCTGAACAACAAAGATATTTTTAAAGCAATAAAATATTAAACAGATGCCAGTGTTTTCTTAGATACATAAATGGCCTGATATGGAAGACGGTCAGGTAATAGCTTTGAGCTGTGAATGTTTGCAACAAAATGTGTAGTCATATAAATCTCACTTGGATTGCATTGCACTAGAAAATCAAAATGCAGAACAGGCCTGTTGAAAGAGCTGTTAAAGTTCACAAATCTTTTCAGAAACGCAAGGTTGAGTTGATGTAGACTGATTTATTAATTTGATTTCAAATTCTGGGAAATTCTGATTTTGAGACATTTATGATTTAAAGAAGCACATAAATTAATGTCATGAATTTTCAAAAATTGTTTTAAAAACCAATTTAGATCCCAAACTCATGTCAAACTGTTGCAGGTTCTTTTTAAGGAAACTTGATAACATAAAACTGACACATTTTGCCTATTTCTGGAGTAATTTCTGTGGCCAAATTGTTTCTAGTCATTAAATATACCAAACACATACAGAAAGAGAGAACTGCAGAAACATATGGGCCAAAACTCAAGATGTCTATAACCTGAATTTGTGTAGGTATAAACACATCACAGTTCTTTTGCCTCTGATGGTAGGAAGGAATTTTTCCCTGTGAGGGTGGTGGGACACTGGACAGGTTGCCCAGGAGCCTGTGGGTGCTCCAAGGCTGGCAGTACCCAAGGCCAGGTTGGATAAGGCCTCCAGCAACCTGGTGTGGTGGGATGTGGCCCATGGCAGGAGGGTTGGGATTAGATGATTTTTAAGGTCTGTTCCAAGGCCTTTCCCTTCTATGATTGTGTGATTTTTCACCTCGCGTTAAGGCAGATGTGGTCAGCAGGCACAAGTTCAGAACCAGGTGTAGGACACAACAATCACAGCTTCCCTGCCAGCTACCAAATGACTCCAGGATCCAGCAAATTCACTCAGGATCTCACAGCAGGCTGGTCTTCTTACTTCTTGCCTCTGGGGGCTAGGACAGCCACCAGGAAAAACAAAGTGGGATCTGAGAAAAAAAAAAAAAAAGACAAAAGGCTGCTCAGTGCAGGCCACTCACCTGCAAAATGCCAAGTGTCCCCCAACACTCGGGTTCCATCAGCTGCAGCACTTCAGACTGCACACTTATGGATCTGCTTTGGGATAGCATAGAATCACAGAACATTCTGGGTGGGAAGAGCCCCACAAGGGTCGAGTCCAGCCCCTATCCTTACAGATCTCCCAGCAATCCCCCTGTGCATCCCTGGCAGTGCTGCCCAAATGCTCCTGGAGCTCGGGGCCATGCCCATTTCCTTGGGCTGTGCCCATTCCCTGGGAGCCTGGGCAGTGCCCACCCTGTGGGGGAAGAACCTTTTTCTAATATCCAACCTAACCCTGCCCTGACAAAACTTCAGGCCATTCCCTCAGGTCCTATCACCGGTCACCAATTTTTTCTGTGTCATGACCTTTTTTCCCCTGAGTGGGCCCTAAAATAGGTTTCCCCAGAATGTTTCTTTTCTCTTTCAAAGTGGTTTGGTTCCTCTCTTCTTGAAAGCTTCACTAATAACCCCCTGAAGATTTCCTCATCTCTCTAATTTGTGAATGGAGTAATATGGGATCTCTGTGGACAGAGATTCCTGCAAAAGAAAAGGGTCTGCTTAGGATGCTATGACTCCTTATCAAGTATGTAGCAGAAATTATTTTAGAGGACCATTTAATTCTGCACTTAGGTGTTTCTCATTATCAGGCTCTCTAGCACATGGATTAGTAGCAATTCCACTGTTCCAGAGCTTTTGTCATTAACAGCATCCCACCTCCAGCAACCTCTGCTAGTCAATAATAACAGCTTGTTTAAAAATAGCAGCATCAACTTGTTTGCACTGTTATTATCTGTGCATGGCTTATTTCCCCACAAGACTCTGGGATGGTGCATAACCTGCTCTCTGGGTCTTCTTTCACTCCCTTTTTCAAAGCATGCTTTAAGATCAGGAGAGAAGACAGACATATTTTTAGCAAATACTAGTAATGTAATTGCAACGATGTTACAGTCCCCAAAAGTAAAATACTGCACTTAGAAGGAGCTGTATATTCATTAGTCAATACAGTATTACCACACAATTTATTGAATTGTAACCCTATTTTTCCTTGATGAAGATGTTGTGCAGCTTTCATCTTCATATAAATCTCAGTGATTAATTTAGCATTCAGAGCTGGAATAAGAATAAGAAACCCAGGCCAAATTCCAATGCAGCCTTCCAGCATCATGTCCTCTCCTCTCACATCAGACTCACACTCAGACACTCAATTTTACTATAACACAGTTTAAAAATTAAATATTGATATGAATGGTGGATTTTGTAGGGCTGCATCTTCCCTACATACCACTAATTCATTGTCCTTATCCTACAATCTGACAACTACTCCATTCAGGTAGATGCTCTTGTTTGTGAGTACAGAAGGTGATTCAAAAGGCATTGCTACACAGCATAAAGACAATTTATTATGCCAACATACTGTATCTTCCTCTGTAGATTAACATAAATAATTATTGTAATACTGCACTGCACTAGAATATGCTTAAAGCTAATTGAATACAAATTGAATATACTTTTTATATTTCCTCATGAATTACAGTTAAGCCTTCTATTTTGTGACAGAAACCTAGAATTAAAGTAGAAGAAACAATTAATGTTATAATTATGTGTTTCTAAACTTATATTCAAAAGCATTGGCAAATTATTGTCAGAATATTTGCATACAAGCTGAACAATTAAGTTGTCAGCTGATTCTATTTCTTCTTATTTTTCTTGTTTAACTGGTTAATTTTTTTAATCTATTTTGTTATCAGAGCCAGTCAGAACTTTCAACAATACTTCACTGCTTATTTTAAAATAGCATAGGTGGAGATACATTAGCAAAAAGAAGAAGAGAAATACATTGATATTTTTAGTATATTTCTCTTACTTTCCGAGTACCTGACAGTTCTGGAAAGTGAATTAATAGCATACATGGCAAAAGAATGGTAGACCTTCTGTCAACTGAGAGCTGCAGTAAAACCTTGATTCAGTTGTGCTGGAGGTGGGATTTTCATCACAGCGTTATGCTGTATTTTTTCCCTAGCACAGCAAACTAATAACTCATAGTTTATTAGAAATATCATTAAAAGTTTTCCTTTTTTAAATATGAGGAAACACTTGACCCAAAAGGGTAAATAGTTTGATTCTCATAAATAGAGGGTGAATTGCTCTATGTTAGAAAAAAAATTAATAGTACAGCTCCTTTCACAAGAAGAATCCTCTGAAAACAATATCCCAATTTCCTGCAGACACTATCAAATTGAGATATGTCACACATGAAAATTCAAGCCCATTTCTTATATAGTTTTACTTCTGCTTTGGCCATGACAACAGCAGATTTGATGTCTGCAAGAGGAAAAAAATAATCATAATTTAAATTGTGAAGTCCATTGACAAAACACATTTTTATTTTTTCTTTCTTTTTATTTTTTAACCTTGAGTTAAGCAATCAGATCTCTGAAAAAGCTATATTTAGATTTTTTTTTAATTGACCCATTATTTTGCTTGCTTTCACTGCCAGAACCCCCTACTGCAAACAAGGATAAGGATGCTACCTGGACTTCATTTGATGAATAGTTTTAATTAAAATATTCTGTACCATAAGTATTTTAATGTTACAGACAAACCAAAGGTATGCAGTAATAAATTAAATTATACATTTAAATTAATCTATAAATATGCTATAAAATTGACAGGATATTTTTAAGATAGAGAATGAGACATGGATTGCTAATTATGACAATTAAATATCATGAGTAAAAATAAATGACAATCAATATCCTAGAACCATTTTGTAAAAAGAAAAAAGGGAGGAAATATAATATCATTTAGATGTCTATAAAGGTGAAAAATTATTAACAAGTTAGAGTCCTGATTTTTCTATTGTAATAAAATGATAAGCAGTAGAACATTATACTTTTCATCACTGCTAGCCATAAATACTGTGCATATACTGTACTGGCACAATCCATTATGAGATTCTTCTGTTTGGATCTATTATGTCCAGGATAATAACATGTTTAATTTTTACTAATAAAATTTCCAGGGTTTCTGCTCTCTCCAGGTCTGATCTAGAAGCCTGTGCACTTATTGGAAGCTTTTCCTTTGCATTTAATGAATTTTGGATCAGTCCCTACTTAAAGAAAAAAAAAAGGTAAAAAAGAAAACAAAACAAAAAAAAAAAAACAACTGAACCAAAGAAAAATTAACCAAACAGCAACAAATAAATGCAAGTTGCAGCAGTGCAGTGGTTATGCACACACAATCAAGGCCTCAGCACCATTGATTCTTTTTCTGTATGAGGAGCCACCCAGGGTTCCTTCCTATTAGCAGATATCTGGACCAAGCATTAGCTCACATGCCTCAGGACACCCACCTGAAATTCCTTCCTTAATTACTTCCTCACACCAGAAGAACATTAAGGCCAGCCAAAAGACACAGCTCTGCTTTGTCTGCAGTGCTGTGTTAGGGGTAGTAAATGTGTAAATTGGGTGGAAACGCATTAAATTACTGTCTCAAAATTGTCTGTTTTAATAGTATTAATGTACCAGCCATGATATGAATTTACAGTCCATCTTCTTCACAACCATTTATCAAAATGGTAAAGGCAAAAAAAGTGAAGATTGGACTTTTTTTTTCCTCCTGGATATTTGGGCTAATAGTCATTATTGTATTCATATTAAAATCCTACTCCATGTCTTTCAATCATACATTTTTTCTCTAATTAAGGCATATTCACTTTTTTGCTAATTAGGTATTCTTTGTTGCACAATGTTTGCTCTAATCTTTTGGAATCTCTCTCAATATCCAGTCATTGCCTTCATTACTGGCTCCCCTAGAATCCAACCAAAGCATGTTATTTTTTCTGCTAATTATATCCTCATTTACAGATTGTTGCCTTCTCTGATTGGCTCTTTAAACCAGTTGCTATGACTTCATTAGCAATGTCTTCTGACCCTGTTATTTCTTGTGACAGGATTTGCTCCACTTGTCCTGTAGCACTGTATCCCAGGGTCACTCCTCTCCCGGGCTGGAATAGTGTCAAACACGAAAGGTTTAGGGCAGAGAAAATCACTGCTGAAGTTGCTAATTACCACATGCAGCAACGGTACAAATTAATGCTTCTAGCAGTTTAGGGAAAAAAAAAAAAAGAGTGTTTTAAAGGTGTCATTAACAGGTTAGTTTCATTTATATATGTGCTTGACAAAAAAAAAGTCATCGTAGTGTGTTTTTGCTTTTACAATTTCTCCATCAAATAAGTGTTTTTAAATCATGTGGGATTTCTTTCAATACAATATGGCAATAAAATTACTGAATAAAGCATTCTTGAGCTCGATGATTTTAGTAGGCAAGTGTTTCTAAACAGATTTCCCTATTGTAACTTGAATTTCAGAATCTTGTAGTGTATTAGGATTTGATTTCTAACCTGTCCTATAGAAATACTGGTCTCCCTTAAAACAAGGATTACATTTCCAAGCATTTGGAAAAAATAAGTAATTATACAAGGACAACATATTAAGAGAAAATTAAAATATATGGAACTGCAGTGAAGTACTAATACAATGCTTATATTAAGCTGCAGAATGGCATGAGATTACAATTTTCATGGGGTACAAACTGCATATTGTGCTAATTGTGTTCCCCACTTTTAGTCTCTTGCAAATCTGAATAATCCATTACCAGAACCAGAGATTCAAACACATAGCAGAGTTTAATACAAGTTAGTTAATATGAAAAACGCTGTATCTAGTTGTTTGCAAAATTACTTTTGTTGATTAAAAGGCTCTTCAGAACTTCCGGCTTGTGAAAGGGTTTTAAATTGTCTAATGCTGATTGTGATTGCTATGCAGAAAAAAGGCAATGCGAAGCAAACCATTATATCACTGAATCTTTGTTAAGCAGGCCTTGAAAGTGCTTGACAGCATAATTAATCTTGTGATATGAACAAAGAAACCAACTCAATAGTATTGAAGATGCTTATTAAAAATACTAAATACCTTTTTCCACTTAAAAACCTTTTGAAATACTGTGGAAAGTGCCATTACCTTTTTTTTGTTTTTGCACTATTTTAGTCTAGAATTGATACAAGGGACACATAGCATGAGAAAAAGAATAAACTGGATGACAATAAAAATTAGTTTAAAAAACAATGCTCCCTGATTTGGGGTGTCAGCTAAGCAACCTTCAAGCATTACAAAAGACCCCTGCATACACACACACAGTGTCCACTGCTCTTAGCTTCAAAAGTTATTGAAAATAATCACTGCCTGTCAATCATATTACACTTTCAAAGTAAATCTTATTAAAATAATTTATATTTAAATGGATAACATCAATTTTAATTGTTGCTTCTGCCTTATGTGGTGACTGTATTGTGTGATGCCATACCAGAACAGATCATACATGTAAAATTCCCTGATACAGTGGGATGTGTTTGTGGTGTAAGTTATTCCCAAATATACTGAGGGGAGCAATACAAAGATATGGAGAGCGTGCTGTGACACGGGCTGGAAGAAAATTTATCCACAGCTTGTAATGTGCATGTTTGCAGCATGCAGAGACAGAGGGAACCAGCCTTTGCAGAGGGAAGCTGCTGACTTTCAGCTGAATGTACAGTCTGTTTTGAAAATTCATTAAAAAATTACAATTATGGAAATTAATGTTTAGAAAATCACCACTTTTGATGCCCCTCAATTTATTAAGAACCTGGTGCTGCTCCCAATGTTAACATTATCTCTTTAAGGCCAATTTATCTGTTTAATTCTGGAAAGCGTAATTATGCAACTAGGACTCGATCCTGCAAGACAAACAGAACTAGGGAAAGAAAAAAAAGCAGGCACTGTGGCAGATATAGCCCAGCACTCCTGATCCTTTTTAAGGCAGAAGGTTGGTCAGAGTGAGCTAATGACTGGTCCCACAGGCTGGCTGACTGGAGGCTGCTCCTTGCACACATCAGGAGCCATCCCGGGAGGATCACCGTTTTCTGGGAGATGGCATCTCTGGTTTTGGTCTCTGTGGCCTCTTGATACCATAAAAAATGCTGTTCTTGTTTTCTAATAAGGTCAACTGTTCTGTATACCCAGATAAAGAACTGCAGAGTGGAGCAGGAAGAATATAATGAAATAAGCAAAGCAGCAGTTATGAATTTCCTCTCAAGTATCTTTTTAAGCACTATATGTTGACTATGCCCGCTCTTTACCCTGCCAATCTGAATTTTCTTTCCTGAATCCTGAGCACTGAAGGTACTTTCTCAGAGCAGCAAAGTTCACTGTGTTATGAAAAGAACCATACTGCACAGTTCTGTCTCATGGAAAAGCCTCCACACACACACAAACACTCAGGACTGACACTATTTTAGACTGTGTGTGTGATCTTTGGAGAGAACACTGCCTAATTTCCATTGAACTATATGTAGCAGAGTGCAGCCCTGCCTCTGATCCAGGGCTGAAGACATTAGTTTAAATACATTTACCTGCCTTGACAGCGAGAAATCAGCAAAGCTTGATGCATCAAGCCCAGATGATGAGGAGCAGGAGCCTTCTTTCAAACTTTCCTGATGCTGGCTGTTGCAGTCCTCCATGGAGATGCCAAATCTATTGATTAAAATACAGGTTGAATTTGGAGGTAAATACACCTTACTTTGTCCTACCTTCAAGTTTTTCAATACTCTCCAAAGACATCAGAAGCTGTGTTTCATTTTAATAACAGTGAATCATCTCTGAGGTTGATTGTCCTTGCTCAGGCAAGGCTTCCTGTGACATATGGCAATCTTGCCTGAGCACAGACAGTGTGGGAGGCTCTGATGGCAATCGTTACTGCAATTAGCAAACCACACACCCATATTCATGTTTTACTTTATAGTTCTGATTCTAAACACTGGACCTTTTCTTGAATCCTCTATGTACAGAACTCCCATTAATTAAAATCAAACAGCAAGAAATATATAAAAAAATCAATGGTAGAATATGACTCATGTTATTTAATTAATGGGTAATTCCTCGCGTCAATATGCTGAGAAAGCTTGAACTTAACCTTTAGGATTAAAAAATTCACCATGTGAGAAAATTTGCTTTTTCCTAATCACATTTCTGCTTAACAGATTTTAAAAACACACGTAAAATCTGTTGGTCAAAGTGTTTAAGTACATACAATCCCTAAGATTGTAAGTAAACTCCTATTGCTATCCATATCAACTTAGATAATGGTAGGAACAAAAAACACCTACAGGTGCACACATACAAGAATACACAGAAAGCTGCAGTGCCTTCAAATGATCACAACTTCAACCCACCAGCTTTCTCCTCTTTCTGTCTTTGCTCAGCCTTTCTCTTCAAAATTACCACACAGGTGTCATTTGTTGAGCTAAGTCAAGGAGCACATGGAGACAAAGTCAGTATTTCATAATAACTCAGCAATATGGATTTTGGCCTTAAGGGTACATTCATTCAAACAAGAGAATAGCAGTAAGAAAGCCCATGAGCAAAATCTTAGAACCTCACAAAAGGAGGTGTTCATTCAGGGGTGAACGTTTTATTTCAAGTTTAATAAATTTCATTTTCAAAGAATTGCCAACTCACACAAATTTGTCACTAATCATCAAATTGGAGATCCTTTCTTTCCTGCTCACAATGCTAGGAGTAGGCACTCCATTCCTCACTATCTGCTAAAATGGATTCCTTTCAGGTACTGCAGTTTTTCCTCAGTTTAGATAGTTCCTTCCTCCCCATTCTTCCTGGAAGCTCTAACAGTCTTGCATCTACATTGTCTTAACTTACTAAAGGAAAAAAATCCCTCAACAGTTCATATTTCTTATTCACAGGGGTCTGAAGCATCACCAGTGGTGGAAGGATCATTAGGAAGACTCAAGACAGCCTAGGAATCCTTACATGCCCTCTGAAGGACTCTGAACATCCAAAATAACCCTGGGCTCACAAAACAACAGGGTGTGATCCATAATATTTCCTGGTGATACCCCCCCAGTGTCATTCTCTTTTACTTTTAGAAATATTTATAAGAAGGCAGGATGTGGATCTGTTTTTTTTTGGACTTTTTGTAGTGACCTAAGACACCAAAACAGGCCTTTAGAAACTTACTCTGAGAAAACAAGGGGGATCTTTTGAAGCTCAGAGAGTTGTGTTTTCTTCCTGTGGTACCCAGACATGCAGATTCATTGGGAGGGAGTAGTCAGATAGCTAAAACCACAAACAGCAGCCTGACACCACACTGGACTCCACTAGACCCTTTCTAACCTGTTTTAACCTCCTTTTTCACTATTGCCCGAACTGGAGGGTCATGGCAGAAAAACTGCCCTGTTGTGAATAGCAAGTGTCCTTGGCTAAGAAGAGGAGCTGCTGTATGCTGGAAAAGGGGCCACAGATAACTGATGAGGGCCAAAAGACTTTATATTTTCATTTTCAGTTCATTTTTCCTTGACTCTCATAGGGAAAGACACCGTCCATATTCTTTTGTAGCTTTTAGCACTCCATTTACCGGCCCAGAGGTAGGATTCTTTATCCAGGTATGAACAAGGGCCCCAAATTTTGTGTGCATATTTTTTCCACGGTTACAGGCTGATGCTATGGGAGCAGCCTCTATTTCTCAGGTACTTTGAAGCAGAACATGACCAGATCAGTCTGTGTTTACATTCCTTGTCTTGAAGTATTTTGCACCAAATGATAGCTGTAAGAGGGTCAATGGATGTATTAAATCTGGACAAACCTGAAGCATTCCAGATGCCCCACCCCAGTCAGGAGGGCTGTAGCACAAGCCTTGTGCCCAGCCTGAGCTGGCTGCTGTAACAAAGGGTGAAAACAGTACCCAGGAGTGAATTTTCACAGCAGTATGCTGACTCCAGTAAACTGAGATTTCTAATGTATTCTGAACACGTCTTGACTAATATGTGTTGGCTTGTATGTAAATGTTTCCTGTTGTTTGTTGTGCTTTTTTTTTAAATTCTCCTAATGGACCAGGCTGCCCTAAGAATGTCATTATATGCAGGACTACATGATCATCAGCACGCTCTCACTGCAAGGCAATGCAGCTTGTTTATACTTGACAGTAAGAAGTTTGTACATTTAGGCCAAGCATTTCTGTGGTTTAGAGCACCTTTCTCAAAGTCCTGAATTCCGACATTCCCTTCCTCTCTGAAGAGCAAGGCCACCCAACCATTCCCTGCTCCTGGCAAGAGGGACACCAGAACATGTCAGTGCAAGGCAAGAGTATTTCATAAAAAAAACACTTTTCAGTTCCAGCCCTCTCACACAGCAGAAATGAGGACAGGCAGTGTGAGAGGACTCACAAGATGAGAGAAGGATGAAGAGCATCAGTAAATCTTACTCTGGTCAAGCCCTGACATTTGCAAAGTATGCAGAGAAATAGTGTACCTCATCTTCTTCTTCAGAGCCACCCTTCTTGGACCAAGAGCTGCAGCTGTAGCACAGTAAACACAGGAAATTTGGATCAGATCAGCCAGGGAGAAGATAAATTCCTGTTCTATGACTGCATCTCACAATGGGAGCCCTTTTTCACTAATGGCATATTCCAACCTCTATGACCAGAGCAGTGCCCATCAGAGCACTGCTGGCAGGAAACTTTTCTTGGTAAGAATGGCAGTAAAGATGGGGAGAAATTATTTTTAAAAAAATTAAGTGCAGAGGAATAAAAAGCTAAGAAAAAAGCAATTTAGTGTTTCATGGTTTGTTAAAACAACAAAGAGGTTTTAGTGTCATAGAGCTGGAGGATTAGGAGGATCAGAAATCCAGATCTGGGATGGGACCTTCCAAACACAAAAAGTGTTGAAAATGGTACATGGGAAAAAAAAGACTATTAAGAACAGAAACATAAACATAGCTGGAAATTGATAGAGCATTGTAAGAGAAACAGAGGTAAAATAAGAAGCAAGAAAGTAGTAATTCTGAAGATGAAAACTGAATGAAATTATAGCCTATGTTAACTGCCCAACCTTCCCTTTCTCCCTAATCACTTTTGGATTCATTGCCCTATGTGACACAGCATAATTAGAGGTAATTATAGCAATACAGATTTCATGAAAATTAGCTGTATGAAGAAAGACCTCTACAGCATCTCTACTATGTGCAGAAAAGGCAGACACAATACTTTCCTCCACTTAGCAGAAGTCAGCTGGCCAGTCAGCTCCCATCTACTCCCAGCGCTGCCAGACCCTGCCCAGCCATGGTGGGGTGAACAGAGACGGTAAAGAGTTTATGCCTGAGAGGTCAGGCTTCATTTGTTCTCTTGTTCAAGAAAACATCATGATATTCTGTTAAAGTCTGAAGAATTTTAAGTGAATTATGAGTTGAGAGATTTACTTCACATGCAACAGTAATGAGAGCTTGTTTGTTTGCCACTAGAATTCTAATTATTCTAATGATCTGCTATTTAGTTTACTATTGTAGACTAGAGATTATGAAAGGGAATTTACTCTTGATTAAGAGAATGAGAGAACAGAGTCTCAATGATTTATGTGCTTGCAAAGTTTGACAGAGTACCAATTTACTGGTTTCCATGAAATTTCAAAGTAATAGTTCTAGAATTCAAGATGATAATGTGAATTCTCACTTAGAAATTAACTGATTCTTCAATTAATTACAAAACCTGAAAAAAGTAAAATTCTCCTACATTCTTAGTTTTCTCCCCATGCAATAAAAAAAAGTATCAGTAGTGTCTAAAAATTACTCATAAACGCAAATCTAACAAATCCTGAAGGAGCAGTCTTACATAAGAAAAAGCTGAGCTTTTAAAAAGGCCATGATTAACAGCACAAAAACATGTGCAAAGATAAGAGACAAATTTTTTTCTATTCAAAATATAGCATATGCCATTTCTAGTGACAATGTTTGCATGTTATCAGAAGTCAAAGCAATTAAGAAATTTTTCAAGATCACTGCTATGTACAGAATTAAATTTACATTGGAATGTATTTAAGACACCATTCTAACAATAGCTTGAATTTTTCACTAAAAGATCAGCTGGTACATTTTGTCCACACCCAGAAAATCATAGGTCAAGTAGGATCTGAACTCAAGTTGGGAAATTCTCAAGTTCTGTCTTTGGATATTTGATAACAAGTCAGTAAAGAAGACAGACAACCTTCCAGGGCAGCAAGAGACAAAGATTTAACCATTACATGATATCTCATGAATGGACATAATGTGTTCTGAGTTACCATAAGTAAAATTAACAGCATGGAATATGCATTGCAGTTAGATTGATTGCTGAGCAAGGATCTTGCCATTCACATGCATAGGTAGGAGCTGTTCATCGTGGTTCAGATATAAAAGAAGAAATTAGGGACAAAAATATTTGATACATCCACAATGCAAACTCAGACATCATATAGTCTTGCTGGACAGCTCAGGTTTTTAGTCATTTAAATTAGTGAGATGGATTATACACAGATTATAAATTTAGAAATTAGCTATCCAAATTTATAGATATTTTAAAAGGAAGGGCTCGTCAAAAATCAGCATTCCAACACAGAGGCCCCCTGCTTGTAGTTCTGGCTGGTGAGTGAGCAGTTCAAGAGTAAATGAGGAGTTTACACCAGAGCTACACATAGATCTCAGTTGTTTACAGAAGAGATG